AAAGTTACCGAGTTTGCTGATGACCAGGTGCGAGCGGTTGTTGTCGAAACACTCAGCAAAACAGACTACGTGTTGCGCACATGGTGCTCAACCCGGAAACAGTGCCTCAGCCGAAGGTGTAGCCCAGCTACTGCATGTCTTGGCCCCTGGCTCACATTGTACTTTCGTAAAGTCTCGTCCAGCGTATTTCCCATCTGAGTAAGGGGTAGTTGAATCATATGTTCAACCGAATATATTCGGACTCCGTTTATACATGATATTGTGAGTGCTCAGTGCGGATACCGTCCTCGCTCCGCAGCGCTGTGTGCTCGCTCCCACTGTGCTTCTTCATGCCACGACCACGGTCATTAAACGAGTCTGTCTGAAAAAATGAATTTTCGAAGCCATAATAGATTAGTTGTTTCAGACAAAAGCACGAAAACGTCTGTTCGGTAGCTTTTTATTGAATAGCCGATGCTCAGGCGAAGAACAGACCCCATCTCGGTAACGTTTCACAGTACGCCTTGTATTTCAACCCTTCTTCGAGTTGGCATTTCTCAAAACTCGTTCTACAAAACTCCTGCGGTTTCGAGAAAAAGTTACGGAGTTTGCTGGTGACCAGGTGCGAGCGATTGTTGTCGAAATACTCAGCAAAACAGGCTACGTGTTGCGCACATGGTGCTTAACCCGGAAACAGTGCCTCAGCCGAAGGTGTAGCCCAGCTACTGCATGTCTTGGCCCCTGGCTCACATTGTACTTTCGTAAAGTCTCGTCCAGCGTATTTCCCATCTGAGTAAGGGGTAGTTGAATCATATGTTCAACCGAATATATTCGGACTCCGTTTATACATGATATTGTGAGTGCTCAGTGCAGATACCGTCCTCGCTCCGCAGCGCTGTGTGCTCGCTCCCACTGTGCTTCTTCCTGCCACGACCACGGTCATTAAACGAATCTGTCTGAAAAAATGAATTTTCGAAGCCATAATAGATTAGTTGTTTCAGACAAAAGCACGAAAACGTCTGTTCGGTAGCTTTTTATTGAATAGCTGATGCTCAGGCGAAGAACAGACCCCATCTCGGTAACGTTTCACAGTACGCCTTGTATTTCAACCCTTCTTCGAGTTGGCATTTCTCAAAACTCGTTCTACAAAACTCCTGCGGTTTCCAGAAAAAGTTACGGAGTTTGCTGGTGACCAGGTGCGAGCGATTGTTGTCGGAATACTCAGCAAAACAGGCTACGTGTTG